ATAATTTGATGATCCCGAGTGGCCATAGCAAAAAGACGAAATTTGAGCATGAAGATTTAGATGTCATTAACGTAAAATTAATGTTTTGAAATTAATTTAAGTTTTACCAATTTAGAAAATAAAATTAAATAATAAAAAAAAGTGTCCACTCGTGGGTTTGAACTCGGAACCCTTCGATTCCTAGACAAGTACTCTAAATTTTCGTTATGAAGACTTATAAAAAAGTTTTACTTTTTAACGCTGATAATCAGATTGCTTTTAGTTTCATTAAAATATCAGTTTATTTCTAAATATAGACGAATATCTTGTGGAATGCTATTATTTATTGATTCTTTACAAGAATCACTAATTTTTATTTATATTTAATCTAAAAATAACTAAAAAAATATATACTGCCAATTAATTTTACGGAATTGTCACTTATAAAGTTCTAACATCTGACGTAGAGGGCGTATCTAACCAGTAAATAAAATCGTTAGTTCAATGATTGTACCAATAGATGTCGGGCGCGATTGCCTCCAATTACAGTGACTTTATATTGACAGTGGCGACAATAGAGTGTTCTCTTTTTGATTGGATGTCAGAGTCACGTGGTTTTATCCGCCATGTTGCATCGAAAATAGTTTGTGTCTACCACTGTGTTTACGGAGTTTATTTGTTTTCTTGACGATTTGTGTTAAACTATAAAAGTTTTGGTAGTTTTAAGTGAACATTATTTGCCCTGTGTAATAAACTTTAAATATCTGTGTTAATTTGGTTTTCTGGAATTGTTATATTACAGCAAATATTGGAAAATTTACTCGCCTGTTAGTGGTAAGGATTGTTTACAAAATGCATACTGAAATTTTCTTGCTTTATATAGTATTAAAAATGACTTTAAATAAATTTTCGATATTTATATAAAGCCTATATTTAGCAAAATGAAAATACATTGAAAATAGTTCATTTGTTTTCATGTTTTAAGGTTGAAGGCCAGCTGCGAAACAAATATGCCTGGGTGTGCTGCAGTTAATTGTAGCAATTCTTCGGAAAAAGCGTTCCTGATGAAACGTTTCCCAAGGGACCATGATAAAAGAAGACAGTGGCAAATTAGAACTAGACGGGATATGGGTGCCTGCAATCAAGGTGTGTGGAAGAGTTGGGGAATTTCTGCTGGTAAATTCTCACCTATAAACTGTAAGATTCTGAACCCTTCAAAACCAGATGCATTTATTTATTTTTTTGCTGATGTTCCTCATCTGTTCAAGAATATCAAATCAATGATTATTCAAAATAAAGTCATTCAATTACCAGATGAAATTGTCGAAAAATATAATTTACCTTCACAAGAAGTTCTGGCAAGTCATATAAGTGAACTATTAGCACATCAGAAAACTCACACCTTTAAATTGGCGCCAAAACTTTAGGATTTACTGCCAATGCATTTTTCTAAAATGAAGGTTTCAACATCAACCAACGTTATAAGTCACAGTGTGAGTAGTGCTTTGAAATTTTTAGCTGAGGTACTTGACAAGCCTGAGTATTTAACAACAGCCTAGTTTTTGGATCAAATTGAGAAATGGTTCTACTTAATGACGTCCAGACATCCTTCTTGTGCTTTAAGTAAATTTAACCCCATTGTGTATGAAGAAACTATTAAGTTTTTAAATGATTTTATTTACTTGTTTTCAAACATTAAAGTGGGATACAAACAATTATGGAAGCCTTCCCAAACTGGAGTCCGAATATCAACCCAGTCCATTTTAGAAGTCCAAAGCTATTTGTTGGAATCCAAAAATTATGAGTTTGTTTTAACAAGTAGATTTTCACAGGATTGCCTTGAAAATTTATTTTCTGTGTTAAGAAGCAAACAAATAATACCAAATGCCGTCCAAATGAAAAATAATTTAAAACTAATTTGTATTTCACAATATTTAAAAAATTCTAGTTCAAGTAGTTATGATGACGACGATCGTGAATTTTTAACTGGCTTCCTAGATACTACTCATAGTAAAAAACCTTTATATGAAAATGTTCAGCTTCCTTCAGACATACAGACACCACCGTTTAATCCAACTAATAGTGAACTAAACTCACTTTATAATATTTGTGGATATATTCTACAAAGTATTATAAAAACTTCCAAAACTTGCCAAAATTGTATCCGTTCCGCAGGCTCCAAAACACCAGTACATGCCAGTTTTACAAAATTTTCTCTACTTAAAAGATTTAAAAAACACTCACTATTTTTTTGTAACGAAGCACTGTTTTGCTTTTTTCTAGAAATGGAAACTATTTTTAAAAAATTTATCTCAATTGTATCTAAGCAAAATATAAATTTGAAAGATTTTTTTTTTAATGAAATGTCCTCCATTTCTATTAACTTGCCAGATTGCCATAATTTAGAAAAAAAAATTATTAAAAGATTTGTAGTGTTTCGTTTAAAAATAAATTCAAAAAAATGCGAAAGTTCAACAAAGCGACTAGCAAGTAAAACTGTAGCTGGACATTTATTGTAATTAGGGTTATACTATTTCGAAGTAATGTTTGTAATTAATAAGTACTTTTAGTTTAGTTTGTAAATAATAAATATATTTAGTTTTTTTCGGTTTACTTTTTGTACCTATCTTTAAAAAATTATTTAGATATAAGTAATACTTTTCGTTAAATATAAGCCTCGTTTGTATATAATAAGTGTACTTTTAGTTTGTAAATAATAAATATATTTAGTTTTTTTCGGTTTACTTTTCGTACTTATCTTAAAAAAATAATTTAGATATAGGTAATACTTTTCATTAAATGGAAACAATGCTTTTTAATAATAATTGTACTTTTACTTCTTTTTTCCGGTTTGCATTTCCTGCCTATCTAAAAAAAATTATTTAGATATAAGAATACTTTTCGTTAAATAGAGCCAATGTTTTTTTAATAATAAATGTAATTTTAGTTTGTTTTTTGTTTGCTTTTCCTACCTATCTCAAAAAAATAATTTAAAATTAACACTATTTATTATACACACTCAGTCTCAAAGTTTAATTGTAATTATTTTTGTCCTATATGCTGCTGTCTCTAAATTATTAAAAAAATTCTTAATAATATTTTGTAAATACATTGTTATTTTACGTAGACCTGTGTTTTTTTAATTTTTTCCCCAATTTACTATTTCATTTGTAATCTACAAAAAAGAAAAGAAACTATAGTTATAAGCCAAACTATATTAAGTTCATTATTTTTTGTAATAATTTTAACCTTTATCTTCACAGAAAATATTTTGGTATTACTAATTTAACTAAAGTGCAAAATTTTACACTCTTTAGTCTTTTTACACATGATTTTTTGCGTAAGATTTCTTTAAAAAAAATACTTAAATTATTCTTTTATTTGAATTTCGATGCAACATGGCGGGTGGGCGGAGCTTAGACGCTATTGTCGCCACTGTCTTGATAAAGTCACTGTACCTCCAATAACTTTTACATGGCGATTATCCTACTATAGTTCTTTATACAATGGCATAAGCTTATGTCTATTTTGAAAAATATGGATGACCAATCTATACAACTATCTATGTCATTGACCCTGTCAAATTACCAGGCCTACAAGGTTGTCATTTTGCCTAATTTCTTTGAGCAGCTCTAGGGTGTTAATGACCCTTTTACCCTCGTCAACGATCTGTATCTATAAAAATTCTTTTAGAAATGCAAACCAAATAATTCTTACATTTTTGATTCTTCTAATGCCTATGAGCCAGTCCGCCCCTGTGCCCTGTCTAAATTTCAGAGGATTGTGAAAGTAAACTTACAAATTACAGAACAAAATTGAAAATCTAATTAAATTTATTCAATGAAATTTCACGAAACTACGAACTGGACTTTCTTTCTAATGGACTGATAACGATTTAATGATATCTACACTAGCTTAGCTTCATAAACAAGAAAACGTATTTATTTTCAAGTGTCTACAAGTGAATTTCAAGGTCACTGATAATAGCAATCGGCAATTGTTTAATAACTTTATAGGTATATCAAAAAAAAATTAATTAGGTACCTATTAAGCTAGATTTTAAAATTCTGATAGATGCAATAATATGACTTAAGGTACATCCAGATTATGGTAAAAAAGGAGGTAATCAAAAAACAATAATAAGTATGAGACGTATTAAAACTCACCGGTAGATTTTGTAGATTTAACCTTCTGAATCTTTCTAGCCGATCCGAAAGGCTTAGAAACGCGTTTTAACGGCATTTTGATTAATTTTATTAAATCACCACCACTGTCTTTTACACAAACAAAAAATATCAAAATTTAACATAAAAAATATGCGCCATTACTAATTTGACAGCTGATTTGTCGATGTTTTGATTTGATTGGATGATAAAGTTGCCATGTGGGTTTTTTAGATTTACATCATCTTGGTTGGTCTTGATATTCAGTTGCTTGAAAAATAAACAATTTTTTATCAAACTTGTGTCATTTTTTATTCATAATAAATATAAATAATAAATTTATATAAAAAATATAATAAATACTATTGCGCCATCTATGTTCTGAACGGGCGTTTTTTTACTGAATTCACAGAATTCTATTTTATGGTGGGTGCATTGGGTATGTTACTAAAATAATTTAAATTGCATTAAATTACTGCCTGAAAAATGGGTATCTATTGTGCAGTCAGCTTTGATATTACCATTAATAAATAAAAAGGATATTATATTTAGGTAAATGATTTTATACATAATTTTATGTATCGCCATCTAGTAAGAAGTGAGTATATTACTTCAAACGAAATGTAATGTAATGTAGCATAAGATTAAAGAAGCGTTACTCCTAAATTACAAATACTTGAAGTTTATCAGAAAATCGTTTGCAATTATTCAGTTCTATTTAATTAGCCAAACGATCTGAAACGGACAATTTATTAAAAAAATATATAGAAAACATATGACGCTACTACCATCTAGTGATAATTAACTGAGTTATTTTATAATTTTGACTGTTTACCATCTGTCTACTGTCACCGCTGTCAAATGCAAAAGTCAAAAATGGTAAAGTTGAACTGTGTCAATCAATAATAACTTTACAGAAATGAGACAGAAATAAGATACGAAATAAATAAAAACAATACATAATAACCAAAAAAATTAGTGGAAATAAATTCGATATTTATTAATTTACTATTTAAGTAAATAAGTATTAAAACTCATTGACAAAATAGGTAAATTCTCCAGGTAAATAAAGATTAATTTCATTCAATGTTCTAAATATTCTTTTTTAGTTAATGATGAGTGTCCCTCCGCCAACGTGCGATTGGCAGACCACCAGGAAATTAGTGAAAGAAAGGGGCCAATATTTGCTAGAAACTGGCATGTGGAGCGACTGTAGGTTCATAGTTGGGACGGAACCAAATCAGCAAGTGTTAGAAGGACACAAGCTATTTCTAGCAATGTCGAGTCCTGTTTTTGAAGCCATGTTCTTTGGGGGAATGGCAGAAAAGGACCCAATTGCGATCTTAGATGTCCAACCAGATGCTTTCAGAGCTCTACTTGAGTAAGAATATCGAAATTCTACAACTGGTATGAAAATACTTTAACTTCAAATTTTTAGGTATATTTACACAGACAAAATAAATCTTACTTCATTTGATCAAGCTTGTGAACTTTGTTATGGTGCTAAAAAGTATATGCTTCCCCACTTGGTGGAAGAGTGTACAAAATATTTGTGGTCAGATTTGTATCCTAAAAATGCCTGTAGAGCCTATGAATTTGCCAAATTGTTTGAGGAACCTATGTTAATGGATAAGTGCATAAGAGTAAGTAAATTAATTTATTAGTAAGTATTAATTTTAATTAACTGTTTGATATTTTTAACTGACTTAAAAAAAGGAGGAGGTTCTCAATTTGTTGGTATATTTTTTTATGTATGTTCACTGATAATTCTTTAACACGGTGTTCGATTTTAATGATTCTTTTTGTATTGGAAAGGGGGTAGTTAAGAGGTGGCCCCATATAAATTTGATCAACATCTAATACTTGGGTCCATGAGAAAAACCTCAAACTCTTAATTTTTTATGTATGTTTAGTGATAATTCTTTACCACAGTGCCTGATTTCAATGATTATTTTTGTATCAGAAAAGGAGTACTTCAGGGGTGGTCCCATATAAATTTGGTCAAAATCTAATAATTGGACCCATTAGAAAATCCTTAAACTCTTAATTTTTTATGTATGTTTATCGATAATTCTTTACCACTTCGTCCGATTTCTATGATTCTTTTTTGTTAGTAAGGGGGTACCTCAGGGGTGGTCCCATATAGATTTGGTCAAAATAATAATTGGGTATATGAAAAAAATCCTCAAACTTGTAAGAGTACATTGTTTTAATTAATAATTAATACTATTAATGCTAGGATACTAATTTTTGAGAATGTCATTTTTGTTAACATAACAATGACAATCATTTGAGGTAAATATTCTTGTGAAATTAACAATATGTTTTATTAATTTATTTAGTTAGAAATAGAATTTATTCATCTTTGAGAATTATACACTATACAAAGACACTAGGTACATAATATAAAATCCTATCAGACTAGTCAAAAAAGTGTTAAGTAAATACATTAAAAAATAAAATATATATAATAGACAATTCATGTTAAGATTAGTTTAAAAGTTCATAAAATCTTCTGTACTATAAAATACATTATTTACAAGAAAACCATTAAGATGTTTTCTTAAATCATTATGACTAATTTGATGATAACCTGTATGTAGTATCTTCTAATATGTTACTGAACTTGTTATAACACTTAATCCCAATATATTTTGTTTAATGCTGGCTTATTTGTAGTCGTGAAAAAGGTTGATGGATGTTAAATTTTAATCTAGTATCATATAAGTGCAGGTCTTTATTTTTCTTAAATATATGCTCATTACCTTTTATGTATAAAATTAGTTAAAAAATAAAAAGGGAAGGTAGTGTTAAAATTTGTGTTTTCTTGAAAAGTTCTTTACATGATGTTGTTGGTGTCACCTTATACATGGCTCTCAGAACCTTCTTTTGAGATACAAAAGCTCTTTTAAAGGATGGTGACGAACCCCAAAATATTAACCCATATATTGTAGAGTTGAATGAACCAAACCAAAATAGCATAGTTTTAAAGTATCAAAAGATATGATATAACAACAAGTACTTAATTTTTAAGTTATCATTTTTATATGAGCTTCCCAATTTAATTTGGGATCTAATGTTCCTAAAAAATTTATGTCATCAATGCTTTGAATAGTTTTTCCATCAACATGCAAGTAGGGTTCGTAATCTGGTAATATGTTTTTGGGTAGAAATTGCATGAAGTTTGTTTTTGTTACATTTAATGCCAGACCGTTATCTTTACAATACTGGTTAAACTCACGAGATGCCCCGTTGCTACTTTGAGTAACCTGTTCAATTTGATCATCTGCCATTACAATATTGGTACCATCGGCATATTGAACTATTGTTGAGAGCTTAAACAAAAATTACTTATATCACTTATAAAAACTATAAAAAGAAGTGGGCCCAAAATTGAACCTTGAGGAACTCCTATTGTGCATGGAAGAGGATCAGATTTTAGACTATTTGTTACAATTACTTGAGTTCGATTTATTACGAAAGACTGTATCCATTCATAAGGTTTCCCTCGTATTCCTAACTCATTCATCTTCAATAATAAAAGATTATGATCCACCATATCAAATGCACGGCTAAGGTCATAGAAGAGTCCCAAAATATGTTTTTTATCAATAAGTACTTGATATATAAACTCTAGGCAAGCTGCAATTGCAGTAACTGTTGACTTATTTTTTCTAAATCCATTTTGAGTATCTGGCAACATATTAAAACTTTCAAAGTAATTAGTGAGTCTAATAGAGTATGCTGACTCAAATATTTTAGTTATTTGACTAGATATACATATTAAACGATAATTTTCTATATTAGATGCAGATCCCTTATTTTTATAAACAGGAATTCCTTTAGATTCCTTCATATTTGGGAATAACCCTGAAACAAAGGATTCATTAATATGGGTTCAGCTATATAATGAGCAACCAATAACAGAATTTTACCATTTATTTCGTCAATACCTTCAGTGGGTTTAGAAGTAGTTTTTTGATTATAGTGATGATTTCACTAGGAGTTGTTGGAAAAAGATAAAAACTTTTATGATGTTTATCAATACTCATAGTATAGTTAGATACAATATTATTTTTATTTACATTAACAAAATAGTCATTGAAATAATTTACTTTTTCTAAGGGTGTTAATTTGTCATCATTTGTAAGTTTAATAGGATTCAATAAGTTATTTTTTCATTTTTCCCTACCCTCGTGTATTATATTCCAAGATTCTTTTATTACGTTATTACTTTTTAAAATACGATCATTATTTTTTCTTCTCAAATATTGTTTTGTTATTTTTGATACTCTTTTTTATTTATGGTCGCCCTACGATTAGTGAGCATTACATACTACTGGACCTATTGTTACTTTTGTTTATTATAATTTTGTTTTGAATTTTTTTTGTATATATTATAAAACCTTAACTCTTGCTGTAACTTAGGTTTATAAGCAATAAACGTATTATTATTATTATTATTACTCTTTTTTTTAAATTATTGTAACGTTCTGTATAATATGTAGAATTTATTTCTTTCTTTAACCTGTTCACTTCACATAATAGATTATGTAACTCTTTAATATGAGGTGGAAACAGATTTTTTTTAATTTTTGTGGTTTTATCGCTTTCTTTGTTTTCGTAAATACAATATTGTAGTGGTATAGAAATGATTCATAAAAGATAAAAAATTTATCATTAAAATTAGTAGATGTGTATACTTCACGCCAATTTTCAACTGATAAAATATTTATAAAAGTTATTGCGTTAGGATCACTTAAATCTCGTTTATATCTGTATTTAAAGTCGTTATTTTCAAAATTAGGTAGTTTAATCGAACATAATAAGTATTTATGAGCAGACAAAAAAGTATCATATACACCCACCTTATCTACATCAAAATTGGTAAAAAAATTATCTAAACAAGTTGAGGTTGTACTTGTTGTTCTCGTTGCAACATTTATATGATGTTTAATATTAAATTCCTTCAATAAGTCAATAAAAACAGTTTTTTGATTACCTTCAATCAAAAAATCTATGTTAATATCACCACAGATAAAATATTGATTGTCGTTTTGATAAATATTATGAATTAATAGCTCTAGCTGATTTATAAAAGTGCTAAACTTAGTACAAGGTGGCTTATACACAGTAATAATAAATAAAAAAAGTTTAGAATCGATCTTTATTTTTCCACCACATACTTCAAATTCACCTTTTTCAGCAATACTTGTTTTCATGAATATGCTAGCACCTCCTTTTTCTTTATTTATCCGTGAAAAATATGATACTAGCTTAAAATCGTCAATTGAGGTAGCTTGTACATTGTTAGAATCAAGCCAATGTTCAGTAACACATAGAATACTTATATTTTGTGTTAAATTTAAATATTTGATTATCGAAACTTGATCACTCAGACTCATTTTTAATTATATTTAAACACGATAATTCAATTAAACTGATTTTATTGTCAGAATACAACCGGCGATTGCCGCTTATGGCCAACTCCCTCTCGTGCTTACTCAGCATGTCTCGACCAAAACATTAACAGCGCTCGTTGGTCAGTGGCGCGGCGCGCAAATTTAAAAATATTAATTAAGAGCTAACATTCGGCCAACCTGACCTATTTGAGCGCCCTCGCCTCAAACAAATAATTTTAAACAAGAACAAAAAATATGAAAAAGAATAAAAACAAATATTAAAACATAACCACTAAAAATATATAGGATAAAATATTTATGAATTAAACATAGTTTTTAAATTTCACTGCTCTTGATTTATTTCTTTGGGGTCGTTTGTCTTGATTCTCTTCGGCATCATGTAGCTTTAGGGCATTCTTCGTCTCAGATAAATGGGCATCGGTGTTGGGTTTTCTATCTCTGTCAAAATAATTAAGTGTTTCTGCTCTGTAAGTGCGGGAAGGTAAATTTTTTTTATAGGATCCCTTATATTTAGGTTGCAGTGTTGTACTTTTTATTGTGGGGACTGGAGGTGTTCTAATTAGTACAATTTTTCTGAAATCATATGTGTGACGAATATATTTCTTTTTATCACATTGTTTTTTATATTTATCTTGGTTTCTCAACATATTTGTTTCAATTTTCTTATTTTTCCTTTCCACTTCCTTGGGTGACTGTTCGTCTTCTCTTTTTCGTTTTTTAGCACTGAGTTTCGTTTTATTTCTGTTCTTTCTGCCTTTCAGTTTCATTTTAGAGCCCTCTTCATCGTCTTTAGAATCCCTTGAAAAAATCGATTTGTGCAATTTCTTTGCTTTCCTGATATCTCCTTCCTTATTATTGGCTTTTAAATCAAATTTATCTTTATTCTTGTCTAACATAGCCTTATGCTCACTAGCATTGTAAATTCTTAAAATTTGCTTTTTCTCTTTCTCGGTAAATGACGCATCTTGTTTTGCAAAACTATGAATTATATTCTGTTGCACAACTTTAGCATTTGTTTTTAAAATGGTTTTAATATTTATATCTTTAAATGGTACTTCATTAGCATAACCCAATACAAATTGCTCCCCAGTCTTTAGCAATGCTATATGTGGCAATTCACAATAACTCCTACCAATGATTAAGTCAGTTTCTTGACTATTATCAGGAACAATCAATACATCAACTGTATCGGCTACAACATTATCAATACTAATTTTAACTACTACTTTACCAAAGGAGTGTAAAGCTGGATTTGAATTTTCTCCGAAAACATAAAGTGGCTGTACCTCATCCATTTTATTTAAAGCAAACTTTTTAACAACACTCTCTTTAATTGTACAAACGGAACTTCCTGTATCAATAAATCCGCAACGTACAATCGAATCATTTAATAAAATGTGTTTATAAAATTTATGCTTATTCAGAGTATTAGTTTGAACTTGAATATTTTCTCTGACATAAACACTGGCACCATATGATTCTATATTTAAACTATTTTCTCTTTCTGGGCTATTTTCTCCTTCTGGGTTATTTTCTAAAACATTTACAGTATTTTTACTTGTATTAGCATTGTTTCTGGGCGGATAAAAATTTTGAGGAGGTTTATAACTTGATGAACTTCTATCGTTTTTTGTTGGACAATTTTGTAACATATGTCCCTCCCTTTTACATCCAAAACAAACAGATTGAATATGCTTACATTGTTCGGAAGTATGATTATAAAGACCGCATTTGTAACATTTTCTTTGTTTTGTATCATATGAATTAGAATCCATTCGTGTATTATAAGATTGTTTTTTATAAAGGTTGTTTTCAAAAACATTATTTGTTTCATATGAACGTGTTGCTCTCATTCTATGAGCACTCAGTAAATCTTTGAGAAGACTATCAGAATCATAATGATTTTTAACCGTTAAACTCATTGCCAGGTCTTTAGAAAAAATACCAGCTAAAACTTCTTCTTTTATTTCGTCAAATTGTAAACCTAGCTTAGTACATAAATCTAATTTTTCATGAAAATATGACATGATGGATTCAGTTTTTCCCTGTTTTCTAGCACGCATTCTATCCCATTTTTCTGATAAACTTTCGGCCTGTTTAAAAGTTTTATTAAATACAATTTTAAAATCATCCCAAGAATGAATAAATGAGCTTTTACTATTAAACCAATATACAGCTGGACCTATCAAATGAGCCCTTGCAGTTTCGAGTGTATAATTTTCAGGCCACCTATTTAATCTAGCGCTTGTTTCTACATTAGTAAGCCACTGAGACGCTCGAGGCACGTCTTTATCTCCATCAAAGTAACCTATTACCTGCGATACATCAGGTAATACATGAAAAGCGCTTCGTTCATTTGCCTGACTGGCTGAATTTTGAATATCACTAGACGGGGTAATTCTCTGAAGCATTTGCATCATTACATCATCTCTGCGTTTATTCTCACTTATCATCAAATCCATCATGCGAGTTAAATAAAAATCATTGTTATTACCTTGTGTATTTCCTGAGCAAACATTAGAAAAATCGTTACCCTCAAGGCTGTTATCACCTGAACCATTTTTTTCGGTTTTTTCTTGGGTTTCACACAGCACACAGTAATAAAAGAAAAATATTTGTCAAAAGTTCTGAAAGTACCGAAGTTTTTATTTTAAGAGTTTTCACTCAGTTAATTATTTAGACACACCGTAGGTATAGTTTCGTATTGTTTGTCACACAGTTTTTTTTTATGCCGACACCCGACGCTAATAATAACACACAGTTCTTGTAAGTTTTTAACACGAAATTTACGTATTGGCATTCACATCCCACTTCTGAAATGTTAAATTTAAATATTTGATTATCGAAACTTGATCACTCAGACTCATTTTTAATTATATTTAAACACGATAATTCAATTAAACTGATTTTATTGTCAGAATACAACCGGCGATTGCCGCTTATGGCCAACTCCCTCTCGTGCTTACTCAGCATGTCTCGACCAAAACATTCACAGCGCTCGTTGGTCAGTGGCGCGGCGCGCAAATTTAAAAATATTAATTAAGAGCTAACATTTGTTTCTGTAAAATTAAATTTAGATTAAAGCATTTATTGGCAAAACCTCCCTGTATATTGATATGCATTGAAGTAATATTTAACTGTTGGTAACTGCAAAATGGTAATTCATTATTTTCTTTCAAAAAGTGGTTTTCCATAGTAGTCCTAGGTTTGAAAAATTTTCTTCACTCTTATGCGATCTCTGGTTTTGTAAATCTTTAAGAAATCGCTGACCTTGTTTAAAGTTGAATCGGGAATAAATTATATTTTTCGGCCAAAAATCTGATTTATATACTTGCTCCTGAAAATGAGGATCTATTCCCACTAGAAAAGCTTAATTATTTTGTTTTACAAAATATGTGTCTAGTTTCTTCACATAAATGTCTTCTGCGTTTGTGCGTTTATGAATGTATTTCTTAACATTCTCTTCATTTACAGTGTCTGATACTCTAGATACAAAGAGCCAAATTTTTTTGTTTGATTTTCCCCTTCCTTTAAATTCATCATCACCTTCTCCACTTCCCATAATTGTTTTGTTTTTTTCTCCTTTGCCGTCTTGTTACTGTGATATAATCATTCTCATGACTTTCCTCATTGGTATCATCTGCTAGATTTATTATTTCATTAGTTTTTTGTAGTGAATTTTCATTAGTTCTAACGCAACTTGTTTTTTTGGAGGAATGAGTCATCCTGTACAGGGGCATTTCTATAATCGCTTGTGTTTTCGTTTGGTATTAAATGTTTATTTCCTACAGGTATACTAACACTATCAGTTTTGGTTTGTTTTTTCTATAAAAACTGGTCTTTTATTATCACTGATAGAGAAATTTTGATTTTTATTGTCAACTCTTATAAATTTAGGATTTATTTCGTTATATTGTGTTTGCAGATCAGAATATTTCGTTTTTTAATTTTTAAGTTCAACTTTTAAGATTTCTATTTTTCCCTCATTAATTGGTTTGCTAGTTTTGTTCTTCTACTAGTAATTTTAAAAAGTTGTAAACATCAATGCAAAATACATCACCTTTACTTTTTTCTTGATCCATAGTCTTAGATTTTTCAATAACTTTTGGTTTATGGCATCTTATGATAGCATTTACTCTTTGTGCACACGATGGATGATATTTCAAGTCACAGATTTCACATTTTATACTAGCAGTTACTGATTTTTTACAATAATTACGCTCATTAGTATTTTGCGCGTGCGGTTCAGTCGGCGCCATCTTGGGTTTAAAATTATCTAAACTGATATGGGTCATGGTTGAGGTTTATTGTTCTGTTAAGTCTTAAAACACTTAACTTATCATCGGTGTTAAGTAGTAGAATATTATTTTTTGTGTGTGTTCAAGTACAATAACTACTGACAATTGACCATTCACTAGATGGTTTTGACTACCAGAGTCAGACAAAATTTCTTGACCGTTCTGGTTGATCAGCTGATGAGTCGATTTTATTTTTGTTAGATGTTTTCGACCGGTCAAGTTGTTCATTTAAAGCACCCTTTAATGTTTCTCTTTTAGTATGATACTTATGCTTTACATTAATAAGTAATAAAGATTGGAATTAGCCTGTTAGGAATAGCTAAAAATCGAATTTTATGAGAGAACCATGAGCTGTAATCATTAGGCAGTGAACTGTAGGGTTATTTAGGCAGTGTACGATTTTTTTAAAATATTGAAAGAATTTACAGAAGTCCATTTTGATTTTAGATAATATGCAATCAAACTCAAGAAGTTCTTCAGGAGAGCAGTTTCGATGATGTAGAATTAACCACCATTTTGACAGTTTTTGATCAGGATGAACTGAGCATACATTCTGAACTAGAGCTATTTTCTGCTATCAGTCGTTATGCCGCAAAGCACAACCATAGTTCAGGTGCGAAAGTACCAAGACTAGATGGTATAGGTAATTCTGTTCATTTTTATTCACAAATTAAATCCATTGAATAAATATTAATAATTTCTGTAAAACAGTTCTTATAAAACTATTATTTTGAAAATTAAACATTTTCTTTGAGATATTTCACCAGAATCAATAATAAATGGCACTTGTTTTAATGTTAATAGTAAAGTGTAAACATATGCCATACAATTTAACCATATTAAATTTTACTGGCATCAACATCTTTTTCTCTTAGTTACCATAAACATAAATTTCACCTATTGCAGAAAAGAAGTTAAAATTACCTTTTTAAAATGTGGCTTAATGTATTTTTGCTTGTTTTAGTTATGTCAACTCATTTTTACCAAAACTGTTTAATACTAACTTATTAAATAGTGGGATTAGTTGGAAAAATTAAAACTCTTAGAATAAAATATTAATGGGATAAATATAAAAAGTTCATAATAATGAAAAATGCTTATTACATGTTTTGATTTTATCCTGACTTACTTTCGACAGCTAACGCCACTAGTGAAGCAAACAGTACTCGTCCTACTATAAGAGATGCTATAATGAAGATACGTTTTCTTACTCTCTCGCCCCAACAATTTGCCGAAGGACCTGGAAAGTCATTTTTACTCACAGAATCTGAAAAATTTGCAATTTTGATGAATATATGTAGCCCTAGTTCGGCAGTCTCAATGCCAGATGGTTTTTCAACTGCTACTATCCCTAGGAGAAAAAGGTTAACTTCTGAATCATTGGTTGTGGTAAGTGAATTTATGTAATATGATCTTATTATTTTATCTATTTTTATAGTGTTTTAAGCTCTATGATTTTGGGGAGTGGGTCGGGTTATTAAACAACTCGTATTACTTTGAAAAAGAATATATTTAAAACTTTCTAAACTTGACAATCGATTAGTGATGAAAATATAGAAAATCACTAACCATTAAGATATTATAATTAATAAGGTTTCAGATAAGGTAGCGACAAATTCTAATTCACAGAGACTTATTCAAATTTAAATGATTTATTAAAACTTATCTGTGGTATAACAGGTAGCAGGTACAGGGGATTCGTATGATAGGCTTGGAAATCACCAACTGTTAAATCTTCATAGGTAAAGTTAAATCTCGTAAACTTCTTTGGATGGCTTGAACTAAACCTCTTGAAATACTTGAAACAACCTCTGTAGCTGGAACCAAACTTCTAAGTTTCAATATTTCTACACATGCAGCTGGAACGTTCTTCCTAACAATCTTTTTCGATAAAACTTCTATAGAACTTCTACTGAACCATCTAGATACAGCCAGGCTTTTTAAAATCAGACGGTCATTAAAAATATTAAGGACAATTAGTACATCAGATGTCCAAGATAAAAGATAATTAAAATTCAATAATCAACTTGCTCGATGACATCTATATATCCAAATGAATTGCCAACTGTTGACACAAGGCATAAACGACAAATGACATTAGGGTAGAGATGTCAAAATAATGAAAACGGTTACAACCGTTACAAATATAACATGAGGAACAAAAAAATTATTTTTTATGCAAATTATTTAATAAAAATCGAAAAGTGCTTTCATCCTAGATGTCTTCAGTTTTTGTCATCCAACAAAAAGCAATCCATCAAATTACTTTGTAATTATGATTGATGAGTTTTTGTTTAGATTAACAATTTGTTTAATTAAATCATCAATATTTTTTCATTTCTAAATTAAAGTTTTGTAATTTATGAACGTATGTTTCAACAATTAAAAGGCCATTGAATTTAAGTTGATCTAATTCTGAGAAATGTATTTTTTGCTTGCTTTACTAAACTTTACTAATTTATTCATGTGTCGAAGATACTGTGCTCATATTTAAAGGGAACAGCTGAAAGTGGCACACTATTAATAAAAGGTGGCTGGATTGCAATAAACTATCCCTGAATATTAAAAAAACTACATATATCGCTTTCTCACTAACAGACTTTAGCTACTTAAATATCCCTAATACTAGCTTACAATTAAAAGAATCAAAGAAGACAAAATATTTCGGTATCTACATTGATAAACATCTCAAATGGAATGCTCAGGTCACAAATTTAACTAATAAGTTAAAAGGAGGTTAATTTACAAATCCAAAAAACAGCTTTTAATAATGATATGCAAATCCTTAGTAGAGTCACTATGGCACATATGGCACTCAAGTTTGGGGTGGGCCTCTATAGTAACGCAGTCAGTGGTTCAAAATTATTTACTAAAAGTAATATCGTACAAAAACAGAATGCATCCCACAACAGCTGTATTATAGTAAAATACTAAACGTAAGAATGTTATATGTTCATAATAACTGTCTCCTTATTCATAAAAGAAATAATCTAAAGAACGTCATTTTACACGGCTATAATACGATACATGCATCTGACAAAAATCTAATTGTACTTTACTGTCAAAGAGACACGACTCGGAGATTATCAAGAAATCTTGCACCAAGAATTATAATATGTTGCCTTTAGATATCAGAAATTTAAATAAAGTGAAACATTTTTCAATAAAATGTAAAGGTCATGTAGCTACAAACTTCCAACTATATCTAAACCTTATAGTTCCAAGACAGCCACCTGATTTTACTATGTAGTTGCATCACTGTGAAAAATATTTGTTTTAAGTTATTATCAAATCATTAAAGTTGAATAAAAAACCTTATATTTAAGATATTTTTTTAATGTATTTTGAAAAATCTTTGGAGACAGTTCTCTTATTTCAGGGGGCAATTTGTTAAAGACCTTTGGGCCATAGTAAGAAATTCCAGTTCTGGTTTTGTCCAGTCTATGGTATTCAGGGTGTATATTTTTTGTATTTCTAGTCATGTCGTTGTGTACATTATAGTGTGTTGTGTACTCTATTAAATTATTTACTACATATTTCAATGGATACAAAATAAATAAAAATGGCAATGTTAGTGTACCCTAATTTAGGTAACTCTCCTTACAAGTCCTCCCTGTAGCCCTTTCTATCGACTATCCTCACACATCTTTGTAATTTCTATCACTAGATGTTGCGTGAAATACATTAAGAAGAACTTTTTTTAACATTTTTTTTTTTATAAATTATATAGCAAGTAAGCTCCGGAACATAATTCTTTTGTTAGTTGCTCAGTGTGTTTTTCCCAAGATAACTTGGGGCCAAGATTGACTTGAAAATACCTGACATTCTCAAGGTTGGGCACATCTATAGGCTTCATAGAAAAATACATTCTTTATCTTTTGTTCATTAAGGCTAAGATGGTTTTGTCCAAACCGTTCTTGTGTTTTATACTGCATATCATTCAGACTTCCCACTGAATCAAGTAATATTTCAGAAACATCTACCCCATTCGTGTCGTCCGCAAAGTTTAGGTACCTCTGGGTCTGTGCTGGTTAAATCTTCAATTTCGTTAATGTAGATAATAAACAATGACGGCCCCATCAGAGAGCCCCGAGGCACCCCTAGAGTCATCTCAATTAGATCTAACTTGTTTTTTTCTATATTTACATACGGTTTCTCTCACCAAGATATGTTATGTTGAGAATGGGGTGTTAATACACTGCGACCTAAAAGATCTATTGTGTTCCCTTCTGTCGCCAATGCACTAAGGAAATGTCTCAATGCCCATAACGACCCTTCCAATCCTATTTTCTCAAGGAAGTGTAGGATTTGAAGTGGCTTCAAGTTAGGTAAATCTCCCTCTTCTATTTGATATCCTCCTAGATATAGTGCCCTTGGATTCTAGAGTGCTACACATTCAGTTAGGATGTGAATGGAGGTTTCGTCCTCCTCCTCATAGAATCTGCACTCACGATTCTCTACTACTCTGTTTACTTAGGTGTCCTTTTAGTCGGCAATGCCCGGTAAGGATCCCTGTTACAATACGTAGCCTGTTCTTGCTCAGGCAGATGCAGGCTTCCGATCTTTTCTGGTTATATTCACCCAGAAGTATCTTGGCCTGTCTCAGCCCCAAGAGATTGTTCCAATTATCGGTTCTTCTACTGCCCAATTCTTTTTTAATTTCTCCTAATATTATGTTACTGCTGATACTGCAGAACGGCTCAGGTCCTACAAAGGGTGTTTGAGCCCCTTTCCTTGCAAGACTATCTGCAATCTCGTTACCCTGTACCCCGTTATGTCCCGGGACCCAAGTGCGAGTAACTCTTTTTCTCGCCTAGCTCATTCAATTGTTCTAGGCATGTCCAGACCATTTTTGAGCTGATTACATAAGAGCTCAGCGCTTTGATGGCTGCTTGACTATCGGACATGATGATAATCTCTTATCTATGATAGTTTCTTTCAATGTTAAACTGGATACACTTCTCGATGGCGTGAATTTCCGCCTGGAAGATGTTTGGGTATTTTCTCAAGCTTTCGAAGTGCTTGGGTCCATACCACTGAATAGCAAGTCTTTCGGTTGCAAGCGCGACGGATTCTTGGCTTCATTCTTTCTTGGAGCCCAGCTCTCTGTACTTCTTTAGTATTTCATCCTGGGGCATGTCCCAGGTATCTTTAGTCCTGAAGCAAGTAGACTTTCGTCTGATTACTCCATTCCTGATCATTCTATATCGTGTCCTTTTTGCCATATTCTCTATCATCAAATTAGAGGGGTGAGGTTTTAGATCACCTCCATTGCGGCCGTAGGACAGGTTCTCATTGCACCAGTAATGCAAATAATGCAAAATAGTCTTTGTACTTTTGAGATATCTCACCAAGATAAGAGTCTATTATATTTTTACTCAGTAAATTAAAACCATATATATTCAGTTTGTGTATAAGTAACCTGGGTGAAATGCAATCAAAAACTTTTGTTAAGTCGCAGAATAGAACACCAGTGTATTCTTTTCTTTTCAAAGCTTTGATTTATTATTTTTACTAAGGTTTTAATAGTGTCAACTGTACTTCTAGAGGGCCTAAAACCAAACTGGAATTTACTAAATAAATTATTTATTTCAAAGAATGTGATTATTTGTGATTGCAATATTTTTTATAGTACCTTATCAATAACAGGCGTAATAGAAATAGGCCTATAATTGGAAGGATCGTTTTTAAATCTTTTTGATAATAAGTTTAAAAATAGTACATGTGGGTATAGGGAACCTTATAAAACTTTTAAAGTGAATAAATTTTTCTTCATATTGGTACCATAAAATACGGGGTGTTCCATTTAAATTAACTCAGTAATTAAATAAAACATTTTACTGTAATAAAACTTCAAATTGCAAACACCCCATACATTTTTGATTATTTTAATGATTCTGTTAAAAAGTAACAACATTCTGTAAGAAACTGTCAAAAATTCATTAATTATTTTGCCATCAAGAGTAATTAATTAGTTTCTATAGAATTACATTTTCAAAAAATGTTAATTAAATTGGAAATTTTCAAAAATAGGTATAGGAAATCTTTATTAAACTAACACTATTATTTTTAAGAGCTAAACTAAAAAAAAAATATTAGGTTTGGGACACCCTGTATATATGATACTAATTTTAATTTGTAGCCGCCGTTGAGTTGTAAATTTGGGCCCAAGGAATTTTTAATATCGTTTGTTATTTAACCACCAGGTTCTGTCCTATTGAGTGTATCCTGTATAAAATTTTAGTCATAAAATAGGCTAAGGAATTCACTCCTTCAATGTTGACATGACAGATCATCCCTAGATGGCACAACTCATTTAGACTAATCATATTAGGTATAAAAATGGGGTCTTTATGAAAAAAAAAAAAAAAAAAAAAAAAAAGAGCTACTTTTCGAACATATTTTTATATTCTATTTGAATTTTAAAAACTATTAAAAATTATAAAATTTTGATAGCTTGTCAAATACACCTCACATCTCAGCATCGCCACACGATATGTGTTGAAATGAGCACGTTATTGTCAATTAAAATGTTGAGAGAAACAAGGAACACAATAATTTTAATAAACAAAATAGTTTTACTGCACTTGTTCATGTTTTTCATCCTCTTCGAAATCGTGGGTTTGAATCCAATTATTTACTTTTTCATGAGCTTCTTCTTCAGGCAATTCATCTATTTCTTCATCACTTTCATCGCTCTCTTCCCAAATACTTAAAAAGTCTTTTCCTAACTGGCTTTTAACATTTTTACTACAATAGGTTTTATTAAATTTATTTAAAAATTTTGTTTCGTTGGCAGGTTCTTTATATTCCAATAAATCTTCTTGTTTAAATTGTTTTTTTAAAGAAGACATTATATCACTAAGATTTTCACTGTTTGTTATATATAAAGTAGGTTTAGGGAATTCTATAGTGTTTGACCATTTTTGGAGTATTTCTATTGCTTCGGATTTGTTAGGTTCACTTTCAAATATTCTTTGTTTAAATATTTCACCAAAACAATTTGATGTAAATATACAAACATTGCCATGTAAATTTAGAATCTTTAAACCAGTAATACAATATGATAGTTTATTATCTAAATGATTTGTTGTATTTAATTCAGGGTGCTCTAAATTACATTCTCTAACAGTTTTTTTAATACTAGGTATTTTATATGGCAAAGAAAACGGTGATTCGCCAGTAAAAAGAACTCGACTGTCATAGTGTTGTCCTGATATTGTTAAATAAGTATCCTTATCTTTCAATGTGTAATCTAAATAACAAGGAGCTTCACTTAAAGAATGAGAGTAATGATAAATATCTTCGAAGTTTCTTAAATCAGTTTTTAAGAGATAATGCCTACTAGTAACTAGCAATGTATTGTCTATAGTAATAAAATTATATAACCCATTACATTTAAATAACTTAGGTTCGAAACACATTTGTTCAATTTTACTTCTGATATCTATTAACTTGATAGTTTTTCTATCCATTGTTAATATAGTATTTTCGTTTATAAACCTAAGTTGTTGAAAACAGTCTATTTCGTCAATGAGTTTATTTTTATAACTGATAATAGTTTGCTCTGTTTCTATGTCCCTGATGCTTAATTTAGTATTTGAAAAAATAATTCCTAATTTACCAGCTGAAGATAATTTAGCATCTATCAGAGGATGTTTATATTCTTTAGTATATTTTAAAGTTACTTTAGAAAGTTGATCAAACCTCACTACGTTCACTCTATGTTTTTCTCTTAGAACAAAATATAATTCATCGTTAATGTGGCTTGAATTTATATTGTAAATAGTACTTTCTGCAGTATAGTTCATTGTTTGTACATCACCAAAAATATCTACATCACTCGAAGCATTTGTTATACACAATTTGTTATCTAAATCTGGGCGAACCAAGTAATCATTATTAGCATAATGAAAATGCTCTAAATTTCCACCAGTACAATAATAATTGTAATCGCTATTAAATGTGGGATCGGGATCTTTTTGGTGATACCAATTATTCAGATATTGAGGTAAATGTACAAATCTATCATCATTACACGTTTCTTTTGTAATACGTTTTTTATCCCTACTAGTATATCGTTTTCTAACCGATTCTTGTAGATGGTTATATTTCGTTTTGTCTTTAAGTAATTTTTGAACTAAATCTTCAGAAGTTTTAAACGGCCTGTGAATAGGATATGGTAATTCAACATACACTTTTGAAAAAGTTCTATCAGTACCTTTAAAAAGACTTTCTTCGCTGAAATTTAAGAGGTGGTCATGTCTGATTTTGGTTGTAGTATTTTTGTATGTTTTTTCGGGACCATCTACGAACAACATTTCGTTGAAATCTTTTTTTTAATCGATTAATTTTTATAATTTGCACAGGCTGTAAATTGTACAAAATATTATAGGTTATGGTCTTTCTTCTTTTTTCATTCTGATTATTTCGATCCTTTTACATATTAAGGTGGCCAGCTAATACTTTATTTATGAAAAAAGTGGCCTGAGATTGTAATACAGGGTGAACCAATTAGAATCTACTGTCAAATTAAGCAATAAGTGGAAAATATACCGTTTTCAATATACAGCGTGTTATAGTTTAATCAGACTTTTGAATAACAACATATATTATTAGGTATGAAACTTTGAGAAGATTTATTTGATAATAAGAATGAAATAAAAAAAAGAGAAGTAGACAAATATATACTAATAAAGTTTGGGTTATTTTTATTACTGCGAGGCCCCCGTACCTATTGGGCCTTAGTATTGAAATTTTGAGGATGAGAAAAGATTCTTATCAATTTTCTCCAATTTTTCCAACTACTCTTAATTCCCAAATAGCAAAAATATCATCTGGTCGTCTATGCGTGCGTATTTATGTGCGCCATTTCCAAACGTGCTATTCTAAAGGCGACTTAAACCGAAAAATTGATCTTCCCGCTGTGCCATTTTATTCCATTTTAGCCATACACACTTTCACTCCTTGTGAAATATCTTCTAGAATAAAAAGTCTTGACTCTGTAGATTAGATTAGGAGTTAGACGTTATTTGTCCTTGTCCACCACAACCTTTTTAGATATATTGTGGGACTCCGTTTGTTTTAGAGTATGTCGTATAGCCTAGTCTTTTTTATTAGACTTAGTAGCTTTGACAGTGGCTCCCGCATGTAGTTGTATGCATTTGGCTTTACTTTGCCCAATGTTAGAAACCTCATTCCAACCAGGCCTTCACATTGGCACAAGACTTGGAATGATGTTTCCTCTTCTTCTTCACAGAACCTGCACAAAGTTGCTTCTTCTGCTGGATTTATAACACTCATGTGCCTTTTGAGGCCACAGTGTCCAGTAAGAAGGCCTACTGTTATCCTAATGGTTTGACGCTTTTGATCCAATAGGTCTTTTGTAAACTTGGTCGATGGTTCCTTGATGAACTGTTTGGCCTGTCTGAGTCTTGGATAGTTGTTCCACCATTCCTGAGACTCTTCTTGACTCTAATAAAATTGCAGGCCCTGATAGGGTACCGCAGTTTTTCTTGAAGGGGTGCTGTAACTCCTTGTCAATCCAACTTGGCCAATTTTCCAAAAATCATTTGATAGTGGAATATTTCCATCTGCTTAGAAGTTTTCCCACATTATGCCAGTTTACAAGAAAGGGGACAAAAGCGATATAAAGAATTATAGAGGTATTTCCATTATATCGATAATTTCAAAACTATTTGAATCCATACTAACAGATGACATGTTTTACACGCATAAAAACTATATCTCACCTCAACAACATGGCAATTGAAAATGGTTGCCAGGTTGACACCATCCACACCGATCTGTCAAAAGCTTTTGACAGTGTCTATCATGATTTGCTACTCAAGAAACTCTCCGAAATCGGTATCTGTGGTTCTTATTTTTACTTGATTAAATCTTATTTGAGTAATCAGTGTCAACGTGTCATAGTGCATAATTCCGTATCATGTGACGTTTCAGTCCTATCCAGTATTCCTCAAGGTTCACATGTAGCTCCTCCTTTCGCGGATGATTTAAAGTTTTTTTAGTAGAAACACTGGTAATAACTCCGCATTACAGTCTGAACTAAACAGGTTTACTACCTGGTGCAAAAATAACGCTTTTTTATAAATATTTCTAAGTGTACAACCATGCATTTCACAAGATCCTACAATCCTACTCTTAACTGTTACAGTATTGACAGCGTCAACCTAGATCTAGATAGATCCTCGACAGTTATTGATCTGGGCATTATTTTTGATACCACAATATCTTTTAACAATCATATACATATCATAGTATGCAAAGTCCTTAGAATGCTTGGCTTCATCAAGATACATACTAGGTAGGTGTATGACACAAAAGCAATCATGACACTTTACAATGGCCTGGTGAGAAGTGTCCTGGAATACTGTTCTGTTATTTGCCAACCTACTTACACCTGTCATATCAATAGAATTAAAGGGGTGCAACGTAAATTCGTAAAATACCTGCTCTTTAAACACCGATTTTATAGCCACAACACATGTTATCAAATAAGATTAATGCTTTGCGGCATGCAGAGCCTGGAATGCAGAAGAAAACAGGCTTTACTCCTATTCCTGGCTAAATTAATAGGTGGTTCCATCAAGTGCGGGTCACTGCTTGAGTAAGTTTAACTATTGGTTCTTGCCCGACGGACTCGGCACACATCACTTTTGAATGTAAAAATATACAGAACCAATTACGGGTTGATCCAACAACGTATAGAACCCACTCACCCAAGGATCTGTACAAACTTGTACAAGGTACAAAGGTGACAGAGTGGGTGCTATGAACTAACATGGGGTAAAACACAATAAGCCAATAGGCTTCAGTGTTATTCGGAGACACATAGTCAGACGAGCCCAGGAGAAAAAAAAAATTACGTACAAAGTGCATTTATTGATCGCTTATGCAAGAACTATAACAAATTTTACTCGGACTGTGATATATTGTAATATTTTGACGCTGAAAAGGAACTTGCAACTCCTTAATGTCTAAGTTTTATTCGTGTCGTCCCGCGGTGTTGTGTTATTCTTCCTTTTTTAATATTCTATATAGAATTTTTAATTTATTTTATATTGTTTTTAACTCTACAATTGTTTTTGTTAGGTTAGATATACTGTACTATTTGGAATTTAACATTCTGTAAGTGCTACATAAATAAATAAAGATAATTCTAGAACGAAAACTTTAATTGACTTGCGGTTTTGATTTTTCTTGATAATTTCTTCCGGCCGAGAACCCTATTGATATTAAAAATTTTTTTTAAACACAAACCTAATTTTCTATATGACTGTCATTATTATACATCAAATGTGTTTATTTAAAAAAATCTTTTGAACTAAGGTAATCTTCTTATTTTTTAGGCTGGAGCTTCAATGATGGACACCTCTCGTACTTCTATGATCCAGTTTAATAATCCAAATTCAGAAATGTGTTCGGAATTTTTTAAAAAGATGTACTGCAGTAGACTACCCCTTCACATAACGGAGTGTATGAACACTAGTGTTCTGGATTGTGCTGTAACTTTCACTTGTGACAAAAATATTTGCGTATTTGGCATACAGGTTGGTACTAATTTTTTTAGAGTAGTTTAAAAAACAAGTGTATTTGTGAGTGTAAAATATTTAGTAAAATAAATTATACCAACTTTAAAGCAGTGTGCAAGCGTACTTGTACATATGTTATTTTAATTTAATCCACTAAATACACTAACTTGTTTTATAACTAATTTATTTGTAATCAAAATTACACTGATTTATATTTACTTTAACAATTTATCTTTACTCAACAATATTTATTTCTAAACTTAACGAAAATGCCAAAAATTTGTCTATATAGAAAAATGTTGCGCACCGCACTATTCACAAAGAATTCCAGCCAATTCTCGAACGTAGTAGACTCAAGTTCTAGCAATACTTCCAGCGTTTATGTCACATTCTTCGTAGGCTAACAAAAAAAGGAAAGAATATATCCTTTATTTTTTTCTAGATTACATAGTAAAAAACATGAGCTAGAAAAACCTATTGTAGGACTTATTTCTTATTAATGTATTTAGAGAAATTTGTATTATTTAAATAAAATGTGAACTGTAAAATATTGTAAGGATAGAACTTAAAATTGAATTGACACAAAATAACCTCTATTAAAATTAATTAAAGATTGACTGGCCAGTTAGTTTTGAAACCAGTGCCATCAGAAATACATACACACACAAAGAAACGTCTGTTTTTAACATCAGTCTAATATGTTTAAGAATAAAGAATCCTAAAAAATGAAAATAAAAATAAAATGTTGTTTTTTGTAGGTACCTGCCCAAGTACCTATGGACGAGGAGAGAATACCAGTGGGTAATTTGTATCCAGAATTATTATACGCTCATTTATTGGACGCTGATGGAAGTCGGTTGACATACACTCATTTCACCAGCAGAGTTAATTACAGATCCATGATTGAAATATCGTTTAATCGTCCAGTATATATTCAGAGAAATAAAGTAAGTAACATTTAATCATCAATATCTCTGTTGAGACATGTCCAGATAATTATGCAGGTACCACCTAACGCATATGATTGGAACTTATTTATGGACAGTCTGTCTCGACATAATATTATTTTCCTTAAGGAAGTTCGATCTAAATTATATGAACTTGTCTGTTCTCCAATATATAACACTTTGTAGTATATCTTTCATAATATTGTTGTGCCACAGCGTATATAGAAATGAATTTTTCTCACCCATTATTCATAAACCTCTCCTAGATTTATTTATTATTCGAGCTACTGAACATCGCCAAAAGGAGTTGGAATACTTATATTGGCAACACAGAAAAATGGTGGTTAAAAGACGTCCTTTAACTACCCCTGGGATTATGTAAATTGCCCAAAAGACTGATAATAAAGAAGGAATGCTATTATTTCCCAAAAATATACCCCTGATTAGGTATTAGACCTTTTAGTCTGCAATAATTACATCCACCTTTGTGGAAAAAGCAATATTAAAATCAAATAAATTAATAGAAGGTAACTTATTAAGAAAATTAACTAATACTTAAAAATTTAATAGCGCTGATGCTAAAGTTAATCTTAGTTGGTAGAGTTCATACCAAAATTAGAAAATTACTTGGAAATAGCTACTATTCATTAGCAAACATAAACCCACTTTACTTAAGGTAAATTACCCCTTCATAATCAAACCCCTGATTACTTTAAAACCATGAAGTGGTATCACAAATATATTTGAATGCCTGTGAATCCATTCAATATGGATCACTCGAAAAATACCCCAACTTATAAATGTATGAGATTTAATTTGTCACTCAAAATCATTAAACCATTTATTGGAAAAAGAAATTCACAAGCTATGGTTGCCAAAAATTTAAATTATATTAGGTTAAATCCCATACGCCATATAACCCTGTGGATTATATATAAAAAACCTCCCAAATAATAAATAAGAATAATAAAAGCACTTTATTCATTATGAATATTACAACCAAATGGCCATCGATCTAGGTCCTTCAGCCAGTACAATTTGTGTAATAGAATGATTGGAATATTACGTAAAAAGGGGCTGATTGTAACAGTCGAAAAAAATAAGATGTGTCTCAAACGCGCTTACCTTCTGTGTTGCATCATATTGTTCGTCGGATGAATTAGGTGGTAGTATTAGTCCAGTAGCCAAGACCGGGCCCGGTTACACAGTTTATACAATAACGTTTATTATACAGGATTTTATAATAGCGAATTTAACGGCACATACACACCACAAATCGTTATCGTCGCGGAAAAAATTGCTGTAGTTCTTCTCGTCCAACGGCGCTTCACTTGTCTTACAGTCAGACGAAGCGCATGTGTGGGCCAAAGTTTTAAGTAAGCGATTTGAGACAAAGGGCGAATATTTAAATAATAAAATAGGAATTAATTCATTCTGGGACAATTTGTATAGTATGTATGAGGATTTACAAGCTATATGTGTAAGATGAATACGAATATTAAGCTACTTAAAAAAAATAATATGCGTCACTAATTATTGTTCATCGGCAAATTCGTTTAAGATTTCTGTTATTGATCTCACTGGGTATTTAAACTTTACTTGACCAATTTGTCGTTGCATCGAAAAAATGTTTAGTATGTGATTGTTTTGTTTCTTCGAGAAATGTTTTGATAGTTTTCTAATTCTTTCCAGGATAGGCTGAATCTTAGTTTTTTCGTAAAGATATTCATTCGCTGGTTGGTGAGTGGGGTTTTCAGGATGTTGCATTTTGGTAATAATTCTTAGTGTAGAAGTTTCGGCCACTTGAATGTTTTTTTAATGCAGGTTTTCGGCAGTTTAAATATATAGTGTGACCGTATTACAAGAGTAGTTTTGTAGATTTTAGTGGCCGTGTAGATGTTGATACCTTCTTTTTTGTATGTTGAAGAGCGGAAATGTTTGGTTCTGATTTTATTTTTTTGTTTGCGGATGTGTTCATTGAAGTTCAGCTTATTATCAATAATAAGGCCTAGGTATTTCACTGATGATACGGGATAGATTGGTTGGTTATATATGATGAGTATAGGTGATGTCGGTCTTAGATCATGATAGGGTATCATTAATTGACATTTTTGTGAGTTAACTCCATTTATTGAGCTATTGAATAACTTCGTTATATTGATTTTGTAGTGCTGTGATGGTTTGATTCAGCGTATTTCTATGTGATATCAAGGCCGTGTCATCTGCGTATTGGAGTGTGTAATTTATTGCATTGAAGTGTAACTGACTTGAAGGAAAATCAAAGCAATATATGTTATATAAAGGAGCGGAGATAGTGGCGACCTTTGCAGTACACCTTGATTTGCTATAAAACTTGGAAATGTGTGGTTATTTATTTTAACTCTTAGAGTTCTGTTTTAAAGGAAGTTTTTGATAAAATTATAAGACCATTAAGCACATTAAGAAGTTTTAGTTTAAATAGCAGGCCTTTGTGCCAGACACAGTCAAAGGCTTTTTTAATGTCCAACAGGAGAATGGCAGATTTGTTATTGTTTTATTTTGTTGTTTGCACATTGGAAACTAGCAGAGTGGTTGGTACCAGAGCGGAGATTTGTTCTCTAAACCCAAATTGGAATTGCGGAATTCGTTCGTTTACTAATGCTGATAGATTGAAGTTTTTCGAATAGTTTTTTCAAAACTGGAAGAACGGTGATTGGTCTGTAATTATCAATTCTTTTGTGGTCTGTGCCTGGTTTTAAAATAACTATGATGCCTTTTTTCCATTGATCTGGAAAGTACTGTGACGGCCACCCCCCAGGCCCCCTTTTCTTTTTGATTTGTTCTTGTGTTTTACTCTGTGAAATGTGTTTTTATTTATTTACCTCACAAGTTTTACTTTAAATTCTATACTTACTTTAATTGGCCCTTTTTCCTCTAGTAGTAAAAGTGATCGTCTAGTTAATTTATTGATAATTTATATACCCACGTTGTGATAATATTAATTAAGGTAAACCAGAATTCGATGCAAAGTTTGATGCAAATTGATAAATAAAACATACTAATTCATATTTAAACTCTTATATTTGTCATACTTAAATTTGATGCAACAATTAGCAAAGCATATTACAATTGGTACTATTTACTGAGATCTCACTTGAGTCCCGTTCAAACGCAGACCATATTCATTTGCTATCAATATGTATTTTATTTAGGTTGATGACCAATAGAGTTAACGAACACCGTCAATTCGCCAGTTGATTAACTATTGTGTTGATGTTTATATTCTTTCTAGGTTGATGACCAATGAAGTTAACGAACAGAGCCAATTCGCCAGTTGATTAACTATTGAGTTGATGTTGATTTGATTCTATTGTAGATATATACAGGTTGTACCCTCTTAGGTAAATATTACGATGAGTATAGAGGTGATGACCAACGGAAGTAACAAACAGCGCCAATTCGCCAGTTGATTACCTTACTATGTTGATTTCACATATACTATGTTTCAAACCTTGTAGAACGGGTTGCTTAGCGTATAGGTGTCCCCCCTTGAGCTAACGAACAGCGTATTCGCCAGTTGGTTAACTTACTATTAAATTTTACCATCTTGGTTTGTACAATTTATCCAAGATAGCACGTCCCTGTATATTTCTTAATATTGATTTTTATAATTTCTATTGAAATACTTAAAATTTCACCCATCCAACACAGATGTCTATCCTGTCTTTCGAGGTGTATGACCCGAAGGCCATGTGGTTTATTGATAATATTTTACAGCAAATGTCAAGCCTGCGCTTAAACGAAACCCGGGTGATACCTAAAAGAAAGGTACATAAATCTTTTGACTCACCATTGAAAATACAGACATTAGATTATGTACTAATTTCATCTATCGTTGTGAAGGCGTCGATGTAGGTACGTCGCAAGGTTGGGCGTCGAGGCGCCCATCGTCGAGACGCCTAGCGTCGTGGTGGAAAGGAAGGTATTTAATATGGTATTGTATTGGGACAGACTTACGGTAGAATTATGTAGGTGGTGCGGGACGTGATATTATGAAGGACATATTTAGGGACGGCAAGCGTCGGAAATAAGGCGTGGGACGTTGAGCGTCGAAATGAGTGTACGGTAGGAAATACTTATATGGTGAGGAATGTGACAGCGTTCGAGACGTAGATAGTAGGACGGCAGGACGTTGGGCGTCGAGACGTTGACACCTTCGGGGATAGGAGGTATTGTAGGATAGACGTCGATTAGGAAGAGCGTTATAGGAAAGGTACTAATTACTGAACTTGAAATATAACCAGATACAAATAATAAATGAATGCTTGCACATAATAAATGAATGCATGCACATCAAATAATTAAAAATGAATGAATCCGAGCTCATTTGGGTCTGACTTCGTATACTAATTTTTAATGGCTTTTGTGACGTCTCCATGTCTTTAGTTTCCATCGAAATACTGTGGGTGCAGGAGGTGGCTTATTTATTATGTGCCTTGAGAGCTTTGTGTATCGAAATATTGTCGATATCGGTCTTAACATTGAAACTAGAAAAATAAGCGATTAAGTATTTTAATGATAATTACTTCGTGAAAAGAAATATGGTCTGTGTTCCCAGACACGTTCAGAAATTTGGATCTTTTACGGACGTGATTATAGCTATTATTTATTAGGTGTCGTAAATAAGATTTAATTATCTTGGAGATTTTTCGTTAAATGAAGCGGTAGGTTACAGTACGAATTTTTTTTTTTTAACAGAATATAAACATTTTTATAATATAGATATGTATATTATATTCTAGTTTTTTTTACAATTTGCCATAGGATCATGTCCGATCCTGGAGCGGAGTTTTCTTGATTGGATAGTATTTGAAAGTATTTTTCCTCCTCGAATTCTATGTTATCTTCCTCATTGATTGGGTTGTTTCTAAAATATTGTTTGCACCATGAGTTTACATTATTCCAGTTTTTTGTTCAAAAGATGGGTCTTTCGTTCCGTTATATGTTTTAATGAAGTTATCCTTGAATGCATCGGCCTTTCCTTCATATGTGGTATAGTTTATACCATGGTCTGTGATATTTGGAATTGTATTCCTTGTTTTATATTTTGACAGTTCATTTATTTTATGATAGTTTATTCCCTGATCTCGATTGTTTTCTTTGCAGGTCGGTAGCCATGTGTGTTGCTGAAATTGTTTTATTAATTTTTGAATATCTTTGTTAAAGTTATTGATTTTTGTTTTGACTTCCTGACTAGGGTTTTGTCTGTATTCTTTGAGCATTTTACGTTATGTTTTGATGAGTTTTACGATGTATCTAGGAAGTTCATAAGTAAAATATTTGTTTGCAGTTTTTGGTGTGTTGTTTGTGATAATCTCGGAGACTTTTGTGTGAAAATTATTGCCTTCATTGGTAGTAATATTAGTATTGTTTGAAATTAGTTGGTTTATGTTTTCAGTGTTTGATTTAATGAAATAGTATTTAAGAAGTGGGTCTGCAAAAGTAGAGGGCATTCCTTGGTCGATAGTAAACATTATAGAATGGTGGTCTGCCCCAATGTCGGGATTAATTACTTCTATATTCTTGATTGCGTTGCTAAGATTGTCAGTGTACATTAACAAATCTGGGGTGGCGTGCTCATTGTTGGGCATTAAAAAAGTAAGGGAAGTATCCGATTTAATAAAGTTTGTGTTATGCATAAAAGTTTAAATCTGTTTTAATTTGCCTGGAGAGCGGTGGTTGAAGTCACTGATTAGCACAACATATTTCAATCTTCCTGCCATTCTGAAGATAGAATCGTCTGTTGAAGCATGTGGGTGGCTGTATATCAAAATAAGGCGAAGTTCGTCATCATTGAAAGGGATACTAACGTGTAGAGCATCATTTCGGGGATCGTTTATGCGGGGCAGATTTTGTTTTCGCATTTTTAGCTTTGGATTTATTTGCATAAGTGATCCTCCTCTTATATTTTGGTTTAGAATATTTCTGTCGTGTCTTACTACATCCCAATTTCTATAGTTGGTGTTGGTTTCCGCATTGGTTTTAGTTTCTACAAATAGGGCACAGTCTATTAACTTCGTTTCTTTCGTATGGTTCACTAAATATTTCTTTTAAAAGTAACTGTTTATATTAGTGTATAATATTTTAATTTCGTTGTTGAATGTGAGCTACTTGCGATTCTGGTATAGTTTCAGTGGGAGATTCCAAGTTGTCTAGTTCCATGTCAAACGTCAAGATGTAAATCCAGTTGTTGCCCACAAACGTTACAGTGGTATCTATTCTGTATTTCGCCATGAATCTTTTTCGTAGTCTTTCTATTAACTCCTCTCTGTTAATGTTTTTGGGTTTGTTCAGCTTTTGTACATAAGAATTTATTATTATGTCATGAACTGTTAAGTTAGGAATTCCTGTTATTGGTTTTGTTGGTCTTTTAGGACATTTAAATGATCAAGCTTGATAATCTTCTGAGCCACATCCACTTCATTTTGAAGGTAGCGTGATTGGACTTGTTCGTAGAATGCGCTTCAGAACATTTGTTACATTTTATTGTTTCTGTGCAGTTTTCGGTTGAGTGGAAAAACTTCAAACACTTATTGCAAGGCATTGGGGCTGGGGGCGGCGAAGAGCTCGTATAGACAGCATAATGGCGGGATTTGTAATGTAATCCTTCAGAGAGAAGTTTTTCGTAAAATTGTGGATTTTTGTGATAATTCTTATGAAGTTTGTTGGAGTGTCTGTTTTTTTGAGATGATTCGTTTACAGTAATGGAATTCTCCTCCAGATGAGACCATTTTTTGTGAGATTTCTTCGTCCGATAATATTTCGTTTTCGACAGAGGCAATAACACAAGAGTAGACCTGAGTCGCTGGAATTTTATTATCTCTTGAAGCTTGGTTGTAGAGTATTGTTGCGCTATATTTCATAATTTTATTGTTATTTTTTAAGATCCTTAGTGCATTTTTTAATAGCGCTTTAGCAATATCACTTTTGAGCAGATAGTCCTTTTTTGTCTTTAATATTATATCACTATTATTTGGTCTTGTTTCTTCCCACAAATCAGCCATTTGGATTCTATTAATAATGGTTATTATTGGTGTTAATATAGAACATATTATTAAATTGTTTTTGTTGGAACTCTTTCATGTGTGGTGAGAAATTTATAAATCTCCCTGGATTTTTATTTGATGGAATATTATTATTTTGGTTTTGGATTTGTTTTTTTTTTGTTATATAAGAAACTACAGAATTTCGATACATTCGTCTAGCAATTATTCATTCAATTGCTGTAAATTCGTTAGCAACTTGTATTTTCTTTTCGTTGACGTGGAAATATCTTGATCTACATCCATAATCCGGAGAATTCTTCCCCATTACTTGAACTAGACATATTTTTTTTATGGATTTTGGTATTGAACAGTAAACTTATCGCTGCTACTTGTTTCGCACAGAAACCGTTGTTGCTTGTTCAAAGGCAACAAGCGAACGTTAATAAATTAATTCTTCGGTTTTACTCTTAAATTCAATAAAATTGCTGTGTTGATAGCTTATACGTGTACTGTATTGCATATCGAATACTCGTCCTTTCATTGATTTATTTTAGTTGAACTAAACATTTTCGATATCAACTTTTTTTACTTCTTTTTTTTTAAATGCTGTATTTGAACAGATTTTACTGAAAACTAAATTTTTGAAAGTAACTTTATCTATTTTTTTTTAGGTATACAAGGTTGGTGTGGTTTTAAATAAAGTAGGATGCTATCCCGTGGGGACTTATCCAAGCCAATCGACGTGCAGCGGTGTTGTTTTTACCTTTTCTCAAAATCAGTGTGGTGACTCTGTTCGTGATGGGCTAATTCGATCCATCGTTTTCTCTATTTCTTCTGGTAACAGTATGATTTCAGCTCTACCCGGGGATCACTCAAAGTTGCAGAATTCTATTAATTTAATATAAAAATAAGCAATAACAGAATGACCTAAATTTTTAGATTTTGTTCCTATTTTTTGACTTTTGGCTCCTTATATATGCATTTTTCATGTCTTATGTCAACCTACTTGAATTTATTATTTCTTTTATTTAAGAAACTTGATTGGGGATTGGAGAAATATTAGATCAACTATTAAATTAAATTTTTTCAATAAAATTTATATTAAGGTTTATATGGACCCCCGGAAAACGTATCTACACTTTCAAAATTTTTGAAAAAATGTGTGAATGTATATACAACCTTAAGTATTATTTTACCAAAATTTGATCCGGTTTGTATCATTTGTTCTCAAGAAAAATCGGAAAATTTACTTTTTTACAAGTATAAAACAAAGAAACTAGACTATCAAGAGAGATCATTATTTCATAAAATAAATTAGTTTTGGTTAAGAAACTTACATAAATTTTTTTAAAATTTTTGAACTTGCAGAAATGACGTAATTGAAGAATATATTTATTTTATTAACAAAAATTAGATTTAAACTATAAAAATGAATGTAATATTCAAGAATAATTATATTTAAAGACATTGACCTCAAAACATTATTAAGTTTTTTATAAATTTATTGAAAAATTCAATTAAACAATAACACTATTTTGAATTTCCTCTTTCAAAGTCTTATCTCTGAGAGGTGCTGCCATCTCAATTAGTACTTTCTAAAATTGCTCACAGAGAGCATTAAATTTCCTACTCAAACAGAAATTTCGGATGTCCGCGTACACCAACGCTACCATGTTGCCAGATCGAGTTGTATTACTAAGTTCGCTGGATTAAATAAATGTTTCTATTAATAATTCGGTCGATGCAAACGTACCTATTCATTTTACAGAATATTTGAATTATTTAATTATTAAATGAAAGATACATTCTGAATGATGCATGTGTTTTATCAATTAAAAAAGTTGAACAGATGTTTACCAAATATCAGTATTATGTTAATTGCATGTTGATTAGTTTTTGGTAGAAATTGGATCGTAGGACGATATTTAAGAAGGTTGGCAAGTAAAAAAAAAACGGATTTTGAAATTAAAACAACAGGTATTTAGTAATGACATTTTTTCTGTTAAAAAAATATAAATTCGTAAAAATCTGATTGGCTCAAAAACCATATTACCTTAGTAGGTATTTCATATTTTTTTTAAATAAAAAAAACTATTTCTATTATAAATAAATTTATTAAATATACCTTTTAAAAATTCTTATTGATCCTACAAAAAATAAATCATTGCTAAACATTTACTTAGTAAAAATAGTTATGGTTTTCCTAAGGAACAATTTTTTTCCATCAGCAGTAGTAGAACAAAAGTATTTAACATGTTTTTGTGCATTTAATAGTGCAAATTCTCGAGCTGAGTAAAAACACTTTACTTAAAAATTTTTAGCATCATCTACCAATCCATCCGGTGAAGTTCCTAAGAAACGATAACATTTTTCTTAAAAGATGAATAAACCACATTCAACAAATGTATTCTTTGTAATAGAAGCATATGTTTCAATTGCAACAGTTTCCTTAAGTTTAACATCTATATCTGTAACGTGTGTAGGGTGGGTTAACCCACGGCACTTAGGCCTTACTAAACCCATTTTACATCTTCCTAAATAGATAGGCACCTCCTAGCTCGTGAGCCAGCCTACAGATATAATGTAGTTGACAATATTGCCAAGAGGTGCCTTTCTTATATCGGCTGGTGTTAGCCAATTATCAACGAATACAAATCATTTAATAAATGTGAGCATCGATCACTTGTAGACGATATACTCGATGATATCATCTTTTTGTTTGCACCCTTTGCAGAGTGCGGATTCTGCCAGCTCCATGACATGGAGATGTTTCCCTACTTGGCAGTGACCCGTCAGAATCATATAAAGGGACAATTCTGCTCGTGGTATACTCGTTGTAACTTTTAGGGTCTCCTCCCCGGTTATGACCACTCTTCTTGTTTTTTTTTTTTAATGAAACACCCTATATATTAGTAAGACAATAACTCAAAATCAATCCCATATAAATTAATTTTATTAAGTTAAATATTTTGGCCTTAGGACATCATCAGGTCTAAAAATTAAGTGATAAGCGCTAACAAAACACTACTAGGACGTTCCCATAAAAAGGTTAAAAAATACACGTGCATGATTAAAACCGAGCCCCAACAAGGGTAAGGTAGTTGTAAGAAATATCATATGTGAGACATTTTGATAAATGTGAGAATATGGCGATGAGTAGTGTTAGCCTATAAGTTTCTTTATTCAAATCTTTTTCAACTTGTACAATTTCTATCATATTTCCCACATATGGTATCTCTTACAACTGCCTTTTTAATCATACACGTGTATTTTTTTTAAATATTTTATGGAGACGTCATTTTATATTGTAAGCGCTTATTTCTTTATTTTTAGACCTGATGATGGCCTAATCCTGAAACCGGTTGTCATTTAACTTCCTAAAATTAAATAACGTGGGATTGATTTTGAGTCATTTTTTTATCTTTAAGGTACATATTAGTTAGTTACTCTGTATACTATCACATTTTTCTACTCTTTTATACTATTCGATTTCAAAAATGTATACCTGAGGTGTACATTGAATCGTCTGGAAGTTGCTTTTTTTGAGCTTTTGTTTACGTTCTTTCTTTCTTTCTTTCTTTCTTTCTTTCTTTCCCTTTCTGTCTATTTTTTTTCTTTCTCTTCTCACCTTTAAAATTATGGATAGTTTTCATTGAAATTATTTAATATTCATTTAATTATTAAATAGTACCCAACCATAGCGCGCGAACGTATCCTCCAGTCAGTTTTTTTTTATTTCAATTTTTTGTCTGCGCGAACTGAGTCCATTCGCCAAACCACATAGATTATATTGTTCTAATTTTATACCATATTTTAAGGATAATGCGCTCACCCTAAATAACTTTATTTCAGTAAAGTTCATAGTTGAGAATGATTGAGCGGACCAGTGGAAGACTTAACAAAAGCTCGCCAGGTCATATCCATCTCTTAGCTGGATCACTTGGGCCGTCCGCGCTCAACACCTCACCTCCCGCGGCTTACAACATAAACAAATAAAACATAATTATATTGAAGTTTGGCAACGTTCTTCGCATCGAATCATAAAGATCTCCCGCGTAATCTATTATTGTGCTAGCAGTCTCTTTTGGCGGCGATATAAACTAACGAAATATTATTCTATCACAGATAGAACCCTGTAACTTTAATAAATTGTATACTAAATTTGATGCGACAGGTAGAGCCATCTCTAGAGTCAGAAACGAGTGAGGAGGTGGGTCTATATAAACCTTAAGGTGTTGAAAATTATTTTTCAACAAAAAAAATGAGTAGTAATGTAGGTTTGTTTTAATTATTGAATAATGGTACACATATATTTTTCAGTAATGAAAATTTTACAGAAATCTGTAATTTTATTTTTACATTTCTCATTATTGGATCTGAAAATTGAAAATGATTTACTAGGCACAAAACAATTATTTCGATAATTATTACTGTAGATTTGTTTTAATTATTGTAAAATGTATGTCTGTACATACATTTTTTAATAATTAATATTTTTATTATTAAATATTTGTCATGAATCAATTTAAATAAATTGAAGAATAATTTTTGTTATCATCATATTATCATCCTTATATTAATTTTTTCTGGACTTACATTTATATTTCATTTTAAAATGAAGCAAAAAAATTTAATTATATAACATTTCCCATTGGTTTTCTATTTATGTCACTTTCTTGTTTTTGTTTCTTAAAAAAGATGCCTTTATTTTTTTTAGATGCTTTATTTTATAGATTTTATTCATATAAATTATACATCACAGTGTATGCTTTTAGTTCGTAGGAATAATCGATGTAAATAAAAACTACAAATCTATTTATGTTGATTTTATTTAATTTTTTTTCACAGGTTTTATTTCTGATTCGAATTTAAAATTTGTATTAAATTAAGTAAAATTTATAAAAACTTTAAAATGACAATAATTGGAAATAATCAAACCAAATCAAAATAAATATATAAGCTACTCATCTAAGATTAACTTATATGTTTTTGTTTTATTAATATAAAGTGAAATTAGGGTTTAAAACGGGAGATGGCTTCCACTTTTCCTATAACAAAACAACCGATTTAATCGGAGCAATTTAAGATAACTGTTGCGCTTGCACACCTACCAGGTGGATAGAGAACGTCAAATAATGAGGGGAAATACTTGAGGAGTACTTATTTATTTAATATAAAAATATATAGACAATGGGGCATGTTCAAAAATTTTTAAATTTTTTTTATGAATAATAGAGTTGAAAATAAAACTACATTTTTTTTAATCTATTCATTTGCCGGAGTTATGAATTTTTTTAAAATGTATGACGTCACCGGGAATAGACCAATAGGAGCTAGCGCACAACGTTGCCGGCTAGAAGGTTTACGAGAAGTGATGTACGTTCGTTTGTGTACTCTTTCTTACTTTTAGACTTCTAAAACATCGTTAAATAAATATCTTTTAAATATATAAGATCAAATGTTTTTTGAAAGTATTATTTCTGTTTAAACTTTTACCATATTTAA